TTCCTCTTAGGAGGAGGAGGAGGAGGAGGAGGAGGAGGAGGAGGAGGAGGAGGAGCAGGAGGAGGCGGAGGAGGAGGAGGAGGAGGAGGAGGAGGAGGCGAGGCTCGGCTGTCGAAGGAGCAGACACACGGCACACGAAGAGAGACAGGGCCCATGCCACGGAGGCGAGGCGAGAGGGCGGTGGAGCTCTCGCCCTCGGCGGATGGCCCGCCGGGAGGCTTGGAGGTGCACAGAGGGGTGCCGGGCCAGCTCGAGCGGGAGGAGCACGAGGAAGAACGACCCGGTTGAGGGCTGGCAGGCCACGCACGCAGAATCACCCCTTCCCCGCGCAAGCCCGCGGCACCCCCAGGAGAGGTTCTGGGGGGTTTTCTCTGCAGGGCATCCCAAGGGTATCCCGAAGGGTTCCTGATGGCAAGGCGGGGTTTGGTAGAAGGAAGGATGATGTAAGGAGACGGTCCCTGGAGGTCAGGAGAGAAGGATCAACAGAAGGGAGGATCATCCTCTTCTTGATCGGCCCCCTGAGGTCCCCACAGTCCAAGAGGCAGAGCGACTGGTCGCTTCTATCTCCCAGTCTGAAGAGGGCGACCAGGAGGAGAGAGGATCCTCCTCCTTTTGATCGATCCTCTGAGGGCTACGCAGTCCAAAATGCAAAGCGGCAGTTCGGTTCTTTCCCCCCCAGCCTTCGGCACAGCCCCATGGTCGACTGAAACCAACGCGAGGGTGCTTACCATGAAACTCGATCCCCAATGGCAACGGCGCTCCTCTTCCTCCTTGCCCGAGGAACGGGGAAGGAAAGTGCGGAAGGAAGGAGGAAGCAGGAGGAAAGGGAAGTGTGGCCTAGAGGTATCTAGAAGCCTCCAGCTTCCCAGCGAGGACCGACAGTTTGCACAAACAGCCCAGAGGAGGGAGGAGGAGGAGGAGGAGGAGGAGGAGGAGGAGGAGGAGCAGGAGGTGGAGGCAAAGGAGGAAGGCGCCTCCTTCCATCGATCCCCCTCCCTGCCTCCGTTTGGGCTTGCCCCCGAGGGGCTCCCTTCCAAGTCCCCAGTACGTCGTGAATCCCGCCCGTCCACTGTCACTTGGGGCACAGCGATGGGGGCGCTTCGGTTCTGCGGCGGTTGGGTCCCAGAACCGGCCAGTGGGCGGGCTTTTTTCTGGACGGGAGGTGCGGAGGAAGATGATCGTCCTCCTCCTCCTCCTCCTCCTCGATCCTCACTCTAGATCCTCATCATTCTTCTATCTCCTCCTCCTCCTCCTCCCTTTCCTCCTCTTCGATCCTATCGATCCTCTTCGTAGGATCCTCCTCATCATCCTCCTCCTCCTCATCGACCCTCCCTCTCAATTCGCCTGCATCTCGTTTATCGATCCTCCCCTCCGATCCTCCTCCTCCGCTTCCCCCCCTCGATTCCCTCCGCCTCGAGGAGCAGGGAGGGCCCTCCTTCCCCTCGATGCCCCCCCTTCGCAACTTCTGGAACTGTTCCCGGGACAGTTGCGGGCCGCAGGTTCGTTCCCATACAATTTCGGTTTGGCCTTGTCGTGATTACGGCTTCATATTTCCCTTCCCTTCTTCCCCCCTCTTCATTTTTCCCCCGTCTGTCCCCTGTCGGCTGCATCTCAGTGAATGTCGCTGTCGATCCGCGCCTCCGTGCCGCGTGAGCCGAGCCTGCGGTGAGGGCCCCTGGACGCCGAGAAGGGTCAGACGGGGGGGGGTTCTCTCCCCAGGGACCCCCTTCAGGATGGGCTTCTGATAGGGGGGTAGGGCTGGGGCGGGTCCCCCCAGGAACCCCCTTCGGAGGGTTTTTTTTTGGGGGGGGGGCGGTCGGGGGGTGGAGGCAGCGAGAAACCTCATGCCGTAATGTGTTCCTGGCCCGAGGGGAGACGGGGTCCCTCCCCGCCCCGCCCCGCCCCGCCCGCGCCCCGGCGCCGCCCGCCCGCCTCTCGGGAGGGGGTGCCGTGGACGGGGGGGCTGCAGATGATGAGCGGGACTCGCGCCCTCGTCGATGCTCCTCTCCAGGAGGCCTGCGTCTGCGCCTCCGTGGGCGATGCATCTCGAGGTCTCGAGGCCGTCACTCCAGGTCGAGCGTCCCGATGTCGCCCCTCCCCCCGGGAGGGAGGAGAAGCGACACCAACCCCACCAGGGGGCCCACCGCTGGCGAGGAGGTCCACAGTGCTTCTCCGAGCCGGAGGCCGGGTATGTCTCGAGCGAGAGGGGGGGACCACACCACGCCTCATCGCATCGCCTCGCCCTTGTCTCCTTGCCTCTTGCCTTGCCTCCTCGCATCTCCTTGCCCTCCCTTGCCTCCTCGCATCTCGCCTTGCCTCCTCGCATCTCGCCCTGCCTCCTTGCCTCCTTGCCTCCTTGCCTCCTCGCATCTCCTCGCCCTGTTGGTGTTGGCGTCGCCTGTCCTTGTTCCCTGTCCCGCCCCAGCTGGCGACGCAGCGGGCGGCGCCCTCGCCTCTGAGGTCGCGCCGGGCGCGGGCAGGCCCTCTGCTCCGCCCGCGCGTCGCACCGCGAGGGGGGGGGGGGGGGGGCTCCTCCTCCTCCTCCTCGTCCTCGTCCTCCTCCTCCTCCTCCTCCTCCTCCTCGTCCTCCTCCTCCTCCTCCTCCTCCTCCTCCTCCTCGTCCTCCTCCTCCTGGGAGCGAAGAGGGAGGAGCGGAGGAAGGACGTGCAGGTACGTGCACCCAGAGATCCAACGCATTGACAAAATCAAGACGGAGGTTCTTCTGGACTTTCGGCCCCAGGGGCCCTCGCCGGGCCCCAGGACCGTCAGAAAACGACTCAGTATGAAAAACCAGTCCTGGGGAATGGGTCGACACTTCGGAGGACCGCGTATTGAAAAACATCACGACATCGGATCTCTGGGGATACACGTTGGTTTCGAGAACGCATGGCGCGAACGTTTGTGACACGAGGCTGGCCTCGCGTAACTGGGGGGGCGTATTCGTGTGCGTGGCTGGGCGCGCGTGCGTCCCCTGTGGGTTCCTTGGGGAAGGAGGGCGAGCCCTGAGATCCGGGTGTCGCTCTTTTTCCACACCAGGCGTTTTCGCCCAGTTCCTGGCCCCGGGATCATCACAGATCGGTCCGGCTCGGACCGCGCAGCAGAAGGATGGGCTGTAGGACTCTGGATGTGATGTTTGGCGCTGCTGCAATACTGCCGCAAGGTCGGATCTCTCGTATCCACCCGCCCACCAGGCCGAGCGGCGTGCGAGCTTTCACTGTGAGGAGAGCTCTATATTCAGAGGAGGAGGAGGAGGAGGACGAGGAGGCGGAGGAGGAGGAGGAAGAGGAGGAGGAGGATAATAAGGAGATCCGGGCGCTGCATTGTTTCACACGGGGCGCTTTCGCCCCTCCCGTCCTTCGATTCTCCGGCACGGACCAGAGAAATACGTCCAATCTCTCTGGACGCCCGAAATGGGTACGGAAAGAATGGGTACAATGCCCAACAGCAGTTCCTGTTCATCTTGCACAGGATCCGCTGTCCGCGCCGCCGCGGCCTGTGTCCATTCGAGACAGAAGGCCGCCTGCCCAACAGCGGCCGCTGTTGATTTGGGACAACATTTGTTGTTGGGCATTGTGCCCATTCTTTCCGTACCCATTTCTGGCGTCCAAATTCTCAGAAGTTCATCCGTCCCGTATGGCTGAACAGAAAACGTGACAAGCAAAGAGCAACACATACAAAGAAGCCCCCGTGTCGCCCTTGATTGTTGGCGGCCCTGCACAGGAAGCCTGAGGTCACAAAACGCATCATAAGATTGACTCAGTGGTACGTAATATCATCTCTTTTGCTTAAGCTGCCATGGTTCAAACATCTTCTACACCTGCTAGCTTACGGCGCACACCATCATACATACACATGCTCTGGAGCTGCGTCTTGACATCCCGCGCACACTGCGCGTGGATGTCATGGGGGCGTTCGTCTTCGTCTTGTATACCTTTGTCGCCTCATCGGTGCTATGCCGATCCGCTCCCTCTCTCTCTCTCTTGCCAGGCTCGCGGGGAGAACGGTACATTAACAACAATGGCAGAGGAGGAGAGAGCCAAGGGAGGGGAAAAGGGACGAGGAAGAAGGATGGGAGAAGATAAAGGAGGATGCGACATGTCACCCGAATTGGGCGCCACACGAGCACACAGTGGAGGATCTGGAAGAGCATGAGGAGGAGGGGTAGGGTGAGAAACGGGAGGATGAGGTCAAGAACGGAAACAACGGGTAATGAAACAAGAAGTGTTCGCGAGAGCCGCAGTGCGCGGCGCATTTCTTTCAAGGCCCTTTATCCGCGCTCCAGCCAGATCTGGCTTCAGTGCGACGCCCTATACTTCTCGATCAGAGACTTTGTGACGGCGACTGGTTTGCAAAACTCTGACATGCCAGTGCCTCGCCCGATATCTGATTTGTTTGCGTAGGCCCACTACGACGCTGTCGAATCGACAAGCGTTTGTTGGCAGAGCAACAAGTGGTCAAACAGATGTTGGTTCGGGAACCGCCGATAAAAGGTGGCGTACGGGCACACGTTGATTAGGTAACTCATTTGAAACATCATGTGCAGCCCTAGATGCTGGTGGGCAGCTCTACTGATGTCTTCCTGGGAATGGGCAGGGTCAGTTCTTCAGGGATTCCTGGGCGCGGCACCGAGCACTGACCATGCCATATCTCATGTTGTGCCGAGCTGTCGCCATCGGAATACATCCTGTACGCAGGTAGGACATCACTTCGAGCATGCGTCGGCCCTCTGCAGCCGAATACGTGCAAGAACAAATCGGGGGGGGGGGAAGGGGCTGGCGCGGAACTGGGGATGCACCGGGAGGCAACGGCAGGGCGAGGAGGAAGAGTAAGACCAAGAGGGCGAGGAGGAATAACCAAAAATGACGAGCAGCAGGAGCAACAGGGGGAGCATGACGGCGGCGGCCAGCGGCCGGCGGCGGCCAGTGCCCGTTGTGATCGCGCGCAGCGCCGCAGGGCAGTGGGAGGAGTACGCCCTGGGCTCGCCGCTGAAGCGCGGGCAGGACGCCTCGCGATCTCCTTTGGCCTCCGCTTCTCCTGGTGGGTTGCTGTTCCTCCTCTCCCTCGCCCCTCCTCCTCCGCCTCCTCCTCCTCCTTCCCGTCCCTCCTCCTGCCCCCTGTCAGCCTCCTCCTCGTCCTCCGCGTCGCCATCCTCGTCGTCCTCGTCCTCCTTCTCGTCGTCCTCCTCCTGCTCCTCGTCATCCTCCTTGCCCTCTTCGTCCCGGTCCAGCTCCACTCCTGCTCCCTCCTTCCCTCCCTGGCCAGCGCGAGTCAGTCCTGGGAGGCACCGCCAGTGGGCGTGCCGGACCCGTCGCCCCCCCCTCGAGTGGCCGTCCCCTCTCCCAGGCCCTCCTCGTCCTCTGTCCTCCCCGTTCTCCTCCTCCTCCTCCTCCTCCTCCTCCCTCCTCCCTCCTCCCTCCCCCTCCTCCTCCTCCTCCCCCCTCCTCCTCCTCCTCCCCCCCCCCTCTTCGGGGGGCCTCGTCTGCCCCAGCCTGTAATCTTCTCATCCAAGGCTCGGCCGACCACTGCCAGCAGGCGCCGGCACACCCCTCGGAACGCGCGCGCGCAGCCTGGCCCCGGAGGGCAAACCAGGAGCGACGCGCACGACGCTCGGGGGAGGGAAGGGAAGGAGAGGGGACAGCGGCCATCCGCTCGCAGGGGACAGCGGGTCGCTGCGGCCGCCGTTGCGACACGCTATCCAAAAGTTCCCGACCAGAGCCTCCTCCTCCTCCTCCTCCTCCTCCTCCTCCTCCTCCTCCTCTTCCCCGCCTCACTTACCTCTGGTGTCGTCCCCGTGCTCTCGTCTCGCCGTGTCCCTCCTCCATCTCGGGCTTGGACCCCCTGTGCAACATCCCGCGCTTGACCTCATCCAGAAAAACTCAATATTGGTAACAGTTCCCAGCTCCTAGATCTACCACATTGCTAGGGCGCCTCAAGACGGGTGCACAATACCCAACAATTTCTCGATTCCTCCGCTTCCGCCTGGATCATCTAGGCCTAAGGCGTTGAGTGCCCAGAGACCCGTGGACCCAGGAGGTACTGGTGCTCCTCCTCCTCCTCCTCCTCCTGTTCCTCCTGCTGCTGCTGCTCCTCCTCCTCCTCTTTTTTGACGTTGCGCGGACTTACAGCAATAGCATGGAGCGTCAATGCGAGAAAAATACATGCATAATGCCGACTTAGGCACGGAGCAAACGAATTTTGTCTGGCGGGCGCAGCTGGAAAAGGACAGCCATCACGGGGAGCCTCCCGACCTCTCGCCGCGTGCTCGCAGACCAGTCCTCGAGCAGAGCAGAACACACACACATGCACACATGCACACACACACACACTTTTAGCCTCGCGGCCGGTGGATCCGACGCGGCGGAGGAAATAGCGGGACGCGCTGAAGAGTGATTCGGAAAGCATGTTTTGTTTGGCGTTGCGGCCACGCGAGCGGCGGCGCGGCGTAGGCAGTCGAGCGGGAGAACGCGCGCGCCCGGCCCAGCTCACGCGGCGTGGGGACCAGGGATCCGCCCATAGGGGATCACAACCAGGTCGCTCGCGGTCGGCCACGGTGGGAGGGAGGAAGGGGGAGAGGGGGAGAGTGGCGGTAGGGAGAGGGGGAGAGGGGGACGGGAGGGGGGAGAGTTGCGGCAAGTGGAGGTGTGCAGCGCAAGAAGCAAGGAGGGCGCAGCGCAGAGTGCAGCGGCGCATTCAGGCAGAGGGGGAGAGCGGCAGGCAGACAGCCTGGCCATGGCAGACGGTGGACTGAGACAGGGTCCGAAGAGGCGGCGGAAAGCAGGCACACACACACACATTCTGGCTGTCGCGGCCTCGCGTGCAGCGACGAGGGGCGGAGAAAGTCGAGCGAGCAGCACCCATCGCGGCCGCGCCCTCCTGCGGAGTTGTCTCACCGTGGGCGGCCTCCGGGGGGGCGGCCCCCTGACCGAGCTCCGGGGGTCGCCAGCAAAGACTGACCGGGATGGAAAGGTGCCCTTCTTGGGGAGGAGCGAGGGAGAAACAACTGCATAAAAGTCAAGGGTGCACCGCAGGGGGGATCAACAATACTCATTCCCTACGAGTGAGAGCTCAGCAACGGCATCGACAAGCCAGCATAATCCACGCCACGGGAGCTCACTTCACCCACAGGCGGCGATGATAAAGAAACTCAGACTTGCGTAAACATCGGTATATGGAGCCCCCCGCGGGTTTCTTTGGTTGACGCCGGACCCCACTAGCGGTTCCACTGGCGCCGATGAAGTAAATCCGCTCGGACCTCCAAGAGTGTATGTTGATCCCGTTTTTCTTTCCCTCCAGACAGGCCCCCCTCCGCCCTCCCAGCCCCCCTCCTCCTGAAAATGCCTTTCCACGTCCTTGAAATATGCTTCATCCTCCTCCTCCTCCTCCTCCTTCTCCTCTTCCTCCTAAAAGTCGCCCGCCTTGTGAAACACTCAGAGCCCACTGCTGCTCGATGTTGCAAACACAGGGGGGCGCAGCATTCTCTGGTCAACATGGCGTTACGGGTGCGCGTGCCGCACCGTATCAAGATCGGCCCACGCGGACCCTGTGGGAACCCCTGGGGGGGGCGTTTTCAGCAAGAGCTCCCAGGGCAGAGCCCTGCCGCGGCGAGAGACCTCCCATCAGCCCCCCAAACAAACAAAACGCGTGGCAGAAACGAGATCCGCGATCCCCAATGAATCCTCGCTCCTACCCCCTCCCTCTCGAGCCTCGAACCTCGACCTCGCCGTCATCCTCGGTCGCGGCCGAAATCCAAAGAATACGTGGATCCGATACTCCCTAGCTTCGGCCGCTTCCTCCTTCTACTCCTCCGCCCCCTCCTACTTTTCACGCAGCTCCTAGTTCCAAGCGCACAAGGCTTGCACGTGATGAAGCGTTAGCTTGTGCGGAAGGGGGAGGCTCGGTTACGCGTGTCTGGCGTGCGAGAAAGAAGCCAGGGCTCGGGGCGGAGCATGCGAGGCGGATACTGACCGTGCACGGTGGAAGAACGCCTCCTGCTGCTCCTCCTCCTTCTCCTTCTCCCCCTCCTCGTCCTCCTCCTCCTCCTCCTCCTTCTCATGTAGTCTTGTGTTTGGGAGGTTTACAGGTGCCGTTCGACTGCGCCTCACGTACGACCGTAGATCAGTGATTTGCGCCCAGCACCCAAGGTTTCCATTGCCAGGAGCCTTTCTTGTCAGCATTTCAGCATGCGCAAATGCTTCTACAACCCGATGGAAGCGATTGGGATAACAACCAGAGGATCTCAGCAGCGAGCTGGAAACATGGGGTGCGATAGTACTCAGTGGCACGTGCAGGTTGGCAGGGACGGAAGCAGTACAGAAAGTCGGCATGCACCATCACATCGTATTGTAGCTTGGAGCGGAGAAGAGAAGACGAGCCAACAAATATTGCGGAACCAGGATAAGGACACATGAGAACACGACCCGATATTTCTACCACCCACCATCCACCATCCCAGCAGCAGGGCAGGACGGCCAGCATCCGACTCGCTGCAGTGCACGGTTACGCATTCTATGTATGTTACTACGCTCCGACACAGATCAATTACTATGAGGATTTCGCAGGCGACTTCATCGGGTGGATTGAAAAACAGCTCGACCAACGTGGAAGCCGCACGGCACCAGTAGCAGGATGAGGCATCAATCGTGTGTTTGGGGGCCACAGGCGCCCCAACGAGACCACAGCGACCACGAGAGGGCCAACGGTGGGAAGTACACAACCTAGAATAGAAGAAAGGAAGCGGCACCAGGTTTCGAAGCACACTGGTCCACCGACTATTGGATAGAAGAGGTGGGCAGGCCTGCTCTCGAAAGGAGGCTGGCGGCAAGCAAGATCGACAGCCAGCAGGCGCAGGAGGAACATGCAGATTGTGCAGGAGCGGAAATAGAAACACGACCGACCGACGGGGAGGTGTTGGACATGCGGAGGACGACCGGCGGTTAATGCTCAAGCAGTGCCGGGACACCTGCAAGCGCAGTGCATGGCTTCAGTGGTGACCATCTACAACAACGACGTGATTCCAGCTGGATCCAAGCGAACAACGTAGGAGTCTAAAAATGGACAGGACCACAGCAGCGAAAGGACCTAGCCCAGTCCACTACGCTAGGTAAACTTGAAAGGGGTCGGAGCTATTTCAAAAAATGGGCTGGACGGACAACACCAGACTGGGTTGATCAGGGAAGATCCGCGGCGGGGTGGAGGTGGAGGTGTGGGAGACACGACCGTGCGATGTAGGCAGGGGGACATAAGCAGGGCTCGGCACGCGGCACACCGCAGGAACGGGCTGCACCTAAGAGTACTACACCAACCCGTTTCTCGCTTAGCGCCGCAGGCCACAAGCCGCACCCTCAGATTGGCACCGCCCCATCGCGTGCCCAGCTGACAAGACAACGGCAAACCAGGTATCCCAGGGAAGGGCTCCTGCGCGTCTACGACTCGTTCGCACGGCCTGCAGCTCGGGAGTTCACCACCAGGGCGAAACGACTGCGCACCCACGGTGGGCACAGGGCGGCTTACCACCCATGGCCGGCGAACGTGTGATGCTATGTGTACACGGCCCGCAATAGAGGGCTGTGCAGGGCGAAAGATGAACCATTGCAACAAACTGCGATGGCACAAACGCATTCGCGGTCACAAACATAACACGACTGAGGGCCGCATCCTCCGAGCAAGCAGACCCGCGCGACCGTGGACATGCAATGGCAGCAATTGGCCACTCAACCATCGCACCCGAAACGGCAGACGGGCAATATGAGGCCGAGAGCACCAGTGGAGCGCAGAAGGGCGTTACCTTAAGGCCAATACAGGTCTTACACATAATGCGTGACTAGATGGTGGAACCATACACGCACCGACTCCATGCAACAATTGCCCGAGACCTTTAATCTCATAGTAGGCGGCACATGCGGCTTAGCCCTCAACGCACTCATGGACGACATCACCAGACCCCGCGACAGACAAGCAGAAGAGCATATAAATGGAACATGTGCGCGCCTCTCCAAGGCCT